GTACACCACATTAGGCCCTGTGCCCAGCAGGGTACACCACATTAGGCCAGGCCCTGTGCCTCACCGGGTACACCACATTAGACCCGTGCCCAGCAGGGTACACCACATTAGGCCAGGCCCTGTGCCCAGCGCTGGATGGCTGACACAAAGCAGTGGGATTTTTGAACTTTTTGTTTTTGCCTCATACTGCTTTGTTTGGACTTTTTTTTTTCTTTTCTTTCCAACCATACTGGTTTTTTCTTACATATTACAGTTTCTGATTTTGTGTTTTTGTAGGTGTGTGTCTGTGTCCATCCTTTTTTTTTCTTCTGTATTGTTGGTTTTTTTATTTGTCTGTTTTCTAAGAGAGAGAAGGTGTGGAGTGGGAGGGTGGCAAGGACTTGGGAGAAGATATGGGAAGAGAACTGATCGGACTGTATTGTGTGAAAATAACTTTTTTTGGTCTTTTTGTTTGGTTTCTTTTTTGTCATGAGCCAGGGTTTCTCTGTGTAGCCCTGGCTGTCCTGGACTCACTTTGTAGGACGGGCTGGCCTGGGACTCGAAGAGATCCTCCACCCTCTGGGATAAAGGCGTGCATTACCACGCCTGGCTTGAAAAATGTTTTTTTTTTTTTTTTCAATAAAAAGAGAAAGGCCGTCCGGTGGTGTGGTGTGCTGCAGCCTGCCATGTGCCGTGCCTGGCGCTGTGTGCTCATCTGTGCGCTGGCTTTTTACTACTTCAGCAGCAGGCCGACATCTGTAGGCAAGGACCAGTGATCACTGCTAAGTCTGTGTTACAGTTGTCCTTGAGAATTGTTTTCATTTTCATGTGCATGGATATATGTGCAACATGTGTGTTTGGTTCAAGCCAGAAAAGGGTGTCACGGCCCTGAATCTAGAGTTACAGGTGGCTATGAGCTGCGCTGAGGGTGCTGGGAACTGACCCAGATCCTCTTCAAGAGCAACAAGTGCACGTCACCACTGAGCCATCTCTCCATCTGCAGTCTGTTTACCTTAATATTACTGTTTTCTGCCCAATCACATCCATGTTATATTACTGCCAGAGCCCGCAGCAGAGTCGAACAGTTCTTGAGTGGGGAGTGAGGATTGAAAGAAAGTTAATAAACCAACACACCATACATGTGGTCTTTCTGAGAGGGTTCTCAGTAGAAACTAGTCTCCCGGTTTATTCCCATAATCCCTTTTCAAGTCAGAGCAGAAGCAACTCAGTACAATGAATGGGTTCAGGGAGAAGTCAGACTTGTTTTACCTCTGACCACCTGTCTGTGTGATCCTCACACACACAAAAGGTGTGAACTTGACAAGATATCCCATCCGATGTCTCAAACAAAAGGAGATAGACTTGGCAAAACATCCTGCTTATCACTGACTCCAGGTGAACGCTAGGGTGAAGCATGCCCTTCCTCAGAGCTAAGTAACAAAGCAGCCTGGCAGACCAGCGGCTCACCGCGTTACCCTGTTGCTGGCAGACCAGCGGGCAGCCACGTCAACTGTAGTCACTAATGGCAAAAGGCTGGCCTGGGGGGATGGCGCAGTTAGTTATGTCATGAGCACCTAAGCCTGACCCCTGGGTGCCTTGTTCGATAAATAAAACGAAAACCGCAGGCACGGTGCTTGGTACTTGTAGTACTGGTAGTGCTGGAGAGGCGGGTAGAGCCCTGGTACCCAGTGGCCAGCCAGCCCAGCCTGTGTGGTGCGACAGGCCAGCCAGAAACCCTGTCTCAGAACTTTAGGTAGTGCCTGCAAGATTTCCCAGCAAGCATGTGCCTGCCACCAAGCTCTGGAAGCCACCTGGGGAAGGAAAGGATTAATTCCCACAAGTGTCCTCTGCCGCCACATGAGGGTGCATGCCCCCCTTACCTACAACTAAGCAAACACATGTCTTAAAAATATACCAGAAATGGTAGACAGCACTTAGGGGAAGAGAGATGAGAGTGACCTCTGGATTCCATTCACACCTGTACATATGTGCAAGCACACTCACACACAAGTGGAGAGCAGCTATGGCATGCCTTGCTGAGAACTGTGGTCTTGAAAAGGGACCATGACTCAGCCAGATCACACCTTTGGAGCCGGCAGTGAGTTTATAAGGTAATAAGTTTATAACTTCTTTTTAAGTTTATAAGAAGACAGAGGTTCATGTCAAACTGTTTTCTTGGGGCCAGGCTGTGGGAAGTAATTCATATCAAAAGCTGCAGCAGATTGAAGGAGAACGGGCAGGCCAGAGAGTGCTGTCCAGGAGCCGATGGGGCTGCAGGCTGGATTAGGAGGGAGGCCACCTTGAGGAAGCGGGCGTGGTGGTGACTGTGTCGTGGCCATCAGAAGGAAGGCTGGGGCTGGCTGCCGGGGCTTTGTGTCCTTTCTATGCCTGTCTTGCAGTGAAAAAGAGAATGTTAGGCGCAGAGTTAGAGCCAGGGTGACATTCTCACCCTCTGTTGTTCTGCGCGACACGTGTGGCGCCCTGTTCTTACCCTCCTTCGCAGTGAGGCTCCCGAGAAGGTGTGGGCTTCCTGTTCTTTTGCTATCTTTTTATGTCTGCTCCTTTTTGAATTGTTGATGTTTACTGAGATGTGGACCTTCTGCCTTGCAGGTCTTGTACTGTATTAATTGTAGAAAACAAAATTAGACTTTCTTTCTTGAATTTGAGGTTAGCAAGTTTTCCATGATGTTTTCCTTGTGTTTGCTCTGTAGACGCAAATTCCACCCTGACCAGAAGAGCATCAATGCGTACGTGGTGTTTAAGGAGGAGAGCGCAGCTGCACGCGCTCTGCAGAGGTACTTCTGTCCTCTGTCCTGTGGGGAGGGTCCCACAGCCGGTGCTCGTGTCAGCGTCGATTTCCCCTTGTCTTTGTACATAGAAATGGAGCCCAGATTGCAGAGGGGTTCCGTATTCGAGTTGATCTTGCATCTGAAACTGCCTCTGTAAGTAGAATATGACTTGTTTACAGATCCTAACAAGAGAGTCAGATGTGGGAGCTCATGCCTGTAATTCCTGCATCAGGAAGCAACAGGAATTACAGGTCCACCAGAGTAACTGTGTGAAACTGTTCCCCCAAAACAAGCCAGCAACAAAACTATCTTGACAGCTGTGTAGAAAGGTGCAACCAGTAGTGTGAACAGGAGGGAAACTGAGAAAGAAGCCTTTCTTCTTTAGGGCAGCAGCTGTCCTGGAGACGATGTGGCCTTAGTTACCTGGTGTCAGCCTTCCTAACGCTGCGACCCTTTAATCCAGTGCCTCGTGTTGTGGTGACCCCACCATAAAATTACTACGTTGCTACTTCATAACTAATTTTGCCACTGTTGTGAATGAATCATCATGTAAATAGCTATGTTTTCCGGTGGTGTTAGGTGACCCTGTGAAAGGGTCATTTGACCAAAGTGGTCACAGCCTTCGGGTTGAGAGCTCCTGCCTTAGAGCTCAAAGTGTTTGCTGATTGGCTTCTCAAAGGCCAAACTTTGTAAAAGCAGGCCCTCCATAAGCAGCACTGTGAGTAGCACTATGCATGAAGCCGCTCCTCTGTGCTCACAGGTATGCAGAGGGAAGATGAGAGACAGACATGGGCAGGCGTGTAATCAACCAGAAGGGGAGCGATGTATGGGGGAGAGGCGGGGAGTTTCTCTCTTCTAACATACATGGCTTTTATTTTTCCTGTTGTTTCAGAGGGACAAGAGATCAGTATTCGTGGGTAATCTTCCTTACAGTAAGTTTGTTTAAGCAAATGAAAGTATCATTGTTGTTAGTACATGACGGCAGGTCATGGGTTGGTGGCAGGGCTTGCCTACGATGTGTGAGAAGAGTAATGTATGGAAAGTAACAAAAGGAAAGTGAGTTATTCTGGGTGTGATGCTCAGTATATGTCTTTAATCCCAGCTACTCAGGGCCAAAGCGCGAAGACTGAAAGGTGAAGACCAATTAGGCTGCCTCAGAGGACAGTTTAGAAAGAGTTAGGGTTGTGGCAGAGCTCCTCTCTAGTGTTGGTGAGGCTTTGAGATCAGGGCCCTTACCACCAGAACCCACACAAACCACTAAGTAATGTAATAATTTGCTTGTGACTAACTTTAAGAAGCATTTTATAAGCTGGGTGATGGTGGCCCAGCACTCAGGAGGCAGAGGCAGGCGATCTCTGAGTTAGAGGCCAGCCTGCTCTACAGAGCATATTTTAGTATAGCAAGTGCTACACAGAGAAACCCTGTCTCAGAAAAGCAGAAAAAGAAAGCAGCAGCATGCTTATGATGTTGTGTGCATGGGCCTTTGCTTAACTCGGAGCACATCAGACCTCTCTAGCTGATACGGGGAAGCCCCTCACCTCAGCTGTGTTGGGTCTTTGTAGAAGCTGAAGAGTCTGCGTTGGAGGAACACTTTCTGGACTGTGGAAGCATCGTAGCAGTGAGGATCGTGAGGAACCCACTCACGGGTGTCGGCCGAGGCTTTGGCTATGTGCTCTTTGAGGTATGGGAGACGAATGTGCTCATGCTCTTTGAAATGCTGGGTGAGGCCGCTGTGCTGGTGTGCTGCCATGTAAAGCCCCAGGTTCTGACTGAAGGAAGCTGAATTCATAACCACAGCAGAGTGACCTCGGAATTTTATCTTCTGTGACCATTCACTCAGTGTTTCCTAATATTCTTAGGCAGTAAAGAACGAAACCCACTTGATGGCACTTAGATTGATTTGTATTATTTGTCATATGAATGTGTGTGGTCTGTATGTAGGTTTGTGCATGTGGGTGTAGGTGCCAGGCCAGAGATGTGGGATCCCCACCCCCACCCCACGAGCTGGAGTTACAGGTGGCTCTGAGCCACCTAGCATGGGTGCTGGGGACTGAACTCCAATTCTCTGTAAGAGCAGTATGTATGCTTAACTGTGGAGTGAGGCGTTTCCCAGGACCAGGCTCTCGACTCTTGATGGGCATTGCCGGGAGGCGGGTGTCGCTTTCCTACACTGAGCTTATTTGTTACTGGTCTTTATGTAACTCACCCCTTTGAGAAGCTTATAGCGTACTTTCTACATCTCAACATTTAAAATTGTACTAATGGTTCTGCTTTGGAATAGAACAGAATTTCAGACTCAAGTTGAACTCTTGCTAGTCCCACATCTCAGGGACTGGGAGTTTTCTGCTTTCTACTTACAACAGAAATTTTACAGAAAGTTGGGTTATGAGCTGTTCACTGTTCTGAAGAACGCACCTGTGATGAGAACAGTGAACCTGTGGTTGATCGTGGGCATTTGGTGAGGCGGCTTAAGCCCCGCCAGGTAATCTTGAGGGGAGCATGAGCAACTAGGGGCTCAAGCCTGAGAGTGACATATACCACTGAATTCTGACTAGTCTCATTACATAGGAGTTTCTGGTGGAAATTAATGTTTCTTCATCTCATTACTACAGAACACAGATGCCGTTCATCTTGCTTTGAAGTTAAATAATTCTGAGCTAATGGGAAGAAAACTGAGAGTCATGCGTTCTGTTAATAAAGAAAAACTAAAACAACAGAATTCAAATCCAAGCTTGAAGGATGTCAGTAAACCTAAGCAAAGACTTAATTTTACTTCCAAAGATGCAGGACATTCCAAGAATGCATTTATTGGAGAAAAGGCTGTTCTCATGAAAAAGAAGAAGAAAGGACAAAAGAAAAAAGTGCAAACAAAGAAACCAAAAAAGCAGCAGTAATGACAGAAGCTACCCTCTTCCTTTCTGTGGTGAGGGGTGTCTTGCAATGAGGGTCTCGGTTTTTTAGGGATTATATGAAAACTGTGGAGGCTTCCACAGTGCTTTTTATTCATATTATATGTCAGGCTTCTTTGAAGCTTAGTTCTTAGAAGTGGATGAAAGAAAAATAATAAACATTAATACTGGTTGTGCTTAGACCAGATATTCAAATGGTTACTGTGGGAATACTGACTCCAGGTGTGGAATCTCATTGTGCCTGAGAAAGGGGCGGCTGGTGATGCACACCCATGCTTCACCTCTCATCTCTGTGGAGAGCCCCATCTCTGTCTTATTCCATCCGTCTAATACTTGCTAACTAGTAAGAACACTAAGAGGCAACTACAGTGGTCATTGATGTCCTTGACAGGTTGCCCATGAAGCTGGTTTCATTTGAAGACTACTCTTCCAGGAAAATGTCATCCTTAAATTAGTGTCGCTCAGAATGAAGCAGCTGCCCCAGAAAGCGTGAAGACATTTCCTATTGAATTGTGATAATTAAATTGGAAACTTTAGATTTGAATGACAGGACAGCGTACTGCTGCGTTCTGTAGGGGCTTGGCCTGGTTACAGTGACTGGCTCTGATCTTACCAAGCTGGGGCTGGTTCCAGGATGAAGTAGGGGGAGGGAGAGTAAGCCAAGGGCTGATTTAGTTAGGCAGAGTCTAGTAATAAACATCCTGTCACGTTGATAGGCAGGAGGATAGGATGAGCATTTAGTTTTGAAAAATCTGTCTTTGGGAACTAGCATGTTGAAAACCTAATGCGTGTTTAAGACATAGGCTGGAGAGGTGGCTTCTCCGTTAAGAACATGCACTGCTCTTCCAGGAAGACTGGGGTTCAATTCCCAGCACCCACGTCAGGCAGTTCACAACTGACTGTACCTGGAGCTCCTGGGTCCAACTCCCCTGACCTCCTCAGGCTCCTGCACTCATGAACATACCTACACAGAGGCATAAACATATAATTAAAAATAAAAGTGTAGCTTTTAGAGCAGAGAAAGTTCGTTTTCCTGTGTCCAAGACTGAATATTTCATGGTTAGTTTCCCTTACAGTATTTGGGACCTTGCTTTTCAGGTTCCAAACCTTAAATCTCAGTAATTTTATCTGATCATTGTTGAGCATTTTTGCATAAGTTATATAACGATGGAACATTAGATTTTGTGTGCATACTGTAACTCGTGTGAGTGAGCAGCATAACTAAAGCATAGCAGATTATATGTGGACATTATTACTGTGTGTATAACGTGAATGGAGGCGCATGGGTGCCGTTGTGCACATGTGGCTGTCCTTATGAAGCACACAGCACGCACAGCCTTCTCCCTGCACCCAGATGTTTTGGAATTTGTCACTGTGTAACTGTTGAATCTACTTCCATAAATAGAATGTGTGCTACTATGGTTGCTTAAAACATTAAAAAATGTATTTTGTAGAAAATTTTCTAAAGATATTTTGTGTAATTTTTTGTTACCTGGAAAACTTGTTTTGTTTATATCTGATTAAATATTAAACCACAAGACTGTGTGTTGAGAGGTTCACAAACTTAGAGTTAATTCCTGGGACTGGAGCAAAATCACCAGATCACAGTCCTTTCAGAGCAGAGGTCCAGCAGCAGTCCCCACTCAGGTTAACCTTAGGATGTGACTGGAATCACGGAGCCCCTAAGAAAGCCCATGGAATGTGCTAACCCCCTCCCCACCTTGCTACAGCCTAGCCTGCACGTAACAGGGCAGGACCAGGGGTCAGGTGTCCCCCAGATAGCCAGGCCTGACCATTTGCAGTCTTGGTGCCTAAAAACAGACCAATCATTTTAAAGGTCAGCTCCCCTAGAGACCCTTTCGCCCAATCCTGTAATGCCAAGACTTGCACTTCCCTGCTTGCGTTCCCCCCCCTTTAAAAACCTTGTTTTCCCAGAGTTGGGGGTCACTTGCCCCTTTGTCTTTGTAAAGGGCAGCAACCCAGCTCCTGTTTGTAATAAAAGACCCTCATGTTTTGCATCGGACTCAAATCCTGTTGGTCATTTGGGGACTCGAGATCTGGGTCTTAGAATGCGTGGTCAGCAGTGGTGAGAAGCTGGCTTTTATCATAAAGATGCTGGGTAGGAGTTGACTGAAAGTAACTTAGTAACCTGTTTCAAATGTCTCTTGCTGCCTCTATCTGCTAACCTAGGTAGGCCTAGTCCTGGAAGACTCCATACAGTCTAGAGTGTTTTCAGCCTCTGAGACTTACTGCTTAATAAGCTCACCCTTTCTTGTTCTCACTGAGCTGCTTCAACTCAGCTGTTCTGGCTCGAACTCCTCTCCTGGCTGATTGATTCAAACTGGCTTCTCTTCGGTTTCTGGCTGAATTTCTCTGCGTGGCCTCAAACTCTGGCAATCTGTTCTAATTTTCTGGCTCTTTCTGTCTTCACCCATGTCTAGTTAGTTACCTCTTCAACCTGTCTGTAAAACTCTCGGAAAAAAACTGCTTCTGAATTCCATGAACTGAACTGCCACTAACTCCACTGCCCTGCTGTTCAGCTTCCTGACTCAGCTGAACTGCCTGAACAGCACTCAGAGATCTGCCTGCCTCTGTCACTAGTGTGCTGGGATCAAAAGTGTGTACCACCTCACCTGGGCATAAGCTTTTCTGAATCTTCCTCTTATACCAGTCTGACCTTGAATTTGGAGATCTGCTTGCCTGTCTCCTGGGATTAGAGGCATGCCTGTATTCCAGTCAGAGTAGCCATGTTGCTGGATTAAAATTCCTCACAGTGGTTAGCAGTTGGCTTTCAGCACTCATAGAAGTACTGGTTAGGTGTTGATGAATCATGAGAATTAGTCATTTTCTTCTTGGTCTCAGAAGAATTCTTACAGTGAGAGGCACAGGGAAGCTTTGCATCACCTACCCTTCACCTTGCTGCTGTAGCCAATTCTTGGACCGGCAGAGCTTGTTCCTGTCACAGGCTTCCATGTGACAAGCCCCGTGAGTGGTCGTAAAGGGTGTTTGTGTCTGGCCCAGGTCAGGGGATGTAAAACTAAGCAGGTCTCCTAACTTCCCTGTGATACCTCCACAGGTGATCAAAGGTGTGTGATGAGTTACCTTCAGCTCTGCAGTATTTCCTAATAATCATCGACACGTTTATTCAACATGAACATTTTGCAGGGCTGTATGTGTTGTTGATACTTTATTAAAAATGCATTGATGAGGCAAAAGGTGCAGCTCAGTTGCAGAGCACTGAGCCTTCATGCCATTCTTGGTTTTGATCCATAATACAGTAAGTTAAAGTAAAAACACTGGTTATCACTTAACTTATCCCAGAACCCAGTTTTTGCTTTCATTCACCAAAAACTTGTATATTCCAGGCTGCTTCCATTGCGAGAGTTTGCTTGTGTTTTACTTGTGTTAGCATGCTGCTGTCTCAACATTGCATTTGCTACACATAATCCACGCTGGGCTTACCTCTAAGTCAAGCCACAAAGACTACCCGCTGTCTGGAGTTCACGGTCTCCTGCCAACTAGGGCGCTGGGTAACTTCTGTTCCATGCACCACAGGCTCAGGAGGTTGAGGGTCACAGGTAACTTTGGGGATGAGGAAGATCACGCTGTGTGCGAGGTATAAGGAAGCATCTCTCTGTGCTGCTCTGTTCCACGGGCCTTGTTTGACTGCACACAGGGCTCTAGGACCATTTCCTGTTCTGATAAAGCAGGGCTTCCCAGGCTAGGCTGTCCTCCAGTGAGACTTGGCTGTGTTATCTCTGTAGGAACTTCAGACACCAACTATTCAGAGCAAGTTTCATCAGTGAAGGGTGCAGTGCTGTACCCGAGTGCCTTTCCTTCAAATGCTGCCACAAGTGTGTGGTGGGGGGCTCATTGCTGATGAGCTGGCTGGGATTCTTTTGCTCAGATGGAAATCAGGTGAGCAAGGAATAGCTTTTGTAGAGGTGGTAGTGCCTGGGCCTCTGAGTGCTGGAAGCTTATCAGTTGGAAGCTTTCCATCTTCCTTCCAGCCTTTGCTGTCTGCCATCCTGCTCTATCTTGCTGCTCTCACAGATGGGTGGTGGTGTGGGCATGGTTGCAGCTGCGGCCCCTTTCCTGCCGCCCCTCTAGTTGCTAGCTCAGTGTATCAAAACTGCAGGGGTTTTGTTTTAATCAGTTGGAAGAAGCTTTTTGGGTCTAATGTGGCAGCACTAGGCACCAACACAGGACAGCATCCCTGGTGACTGCGGTGGAGCGGACCTGTCTCCAGCGCAGCCAACCTGTAACCCCATACCCAGGCAGGTGGAGCTGCTGGGGCTTGCTGGCTTCACACAAAACACCAGCCCCAGTGTAAAGGCCCTGCCTGAAAAGAAAAAGAGAGGCCATCTGGCCTCCTGTTCTAGTTTCTCTGCACATACATTAAGTTTTTAAAACTGAACAACCTGGTTGTGGGAGTGAGAACTTGCACCAGTCATAACAAACTCTACACACGAAGGAAGCCTCGTGTGTGCACTAATTTCCTTGGTGCAAAGTCATCCATAGTTCACTGTGGCTTCTGATGACAAAAAGACCATCAGTCTAAGTGTTCTGAATCAGTGCTCCTGGAGCCGAGCAGCACGGCCAGCAGGGGTGCATTTACAGCATATGGGTTGCCTCAGCTCTTCACAGAAAGGCGTATGCAACAAAGACGCCCGGAAAGTGCCACACACACACACACACACACACACACACACACACACACACACAGCATTTAAGTGTGCTCCACAGTGTCTCATAGTGCTCCGCTCCCCCTCCCCGGGAGGAGGTGGGTCTCCTCAGTTCAGGCTGGCCGCCTAAGCGTTTGCGGCTTTCCCCATGCACGACCTCAGAATCGCCCTATTCTCCTCCACAGCTTAAGATAAGAGCCACCTCATAAAATCACTTCGAAGCCAGTCATGTGTCCGAGTTCCGGCACAACCCAACTTCCAACGCGAATGCTGCCAGGTCTGGTGGTTCAGGCCTTTAATACCATTGCTCAGGGGGGGTGAGGCAGGAGGATTGCAGGTTTGAGGCCAGGGCAGGCTACACAACGAGTTCTAGACGTGCCTAAGCCCCCAAGTTAAAAAGCAAACGCGCACACCAAGTCAGTCACGTTCTTCCTGAGATGAGGCGCTGTTCTCAGCAGCCCCCACCTCTGCCCAGGTCGTGGGGGGAGGAGGGGAGCGCGCGGTGACCCACCGGCCCTCCGCAGCGCACGCCCCGCCCCGAGCACGGCGCCCGGCCGTCTGCGCGTGCGCGCGGGCTCCTCCGCGCAGGCACCGCCGCGGGCGCCCCCGGGGTCCTCGCGCGCCGGAAGTGCTCGCGCTCGGCCTTTTCCGTCCGGACCGGAGGCTGGCGGCCGCGAGCGGCCGGCGTGCTCGCTCGGAGCCAACCGCTGTCTGGCGGGCCGCCGCGGCCCGGCTCTCGCCGCAGCCGAGCGAGGATGGTGGGCCGCAACAGCGCCATCGCCGCGGGCGTGTGCGGCGCCCTCTTCATCGGGTACTGCATCTACTTCGACCGCAAGAGGCGGAGTGACCCCAACTTCAAGAACAGGCTTCGAGAGCGTGAGTGGGCCCGCGCCCCCCCCCCCCCCCCCCCCCCCCCGCCCCCCCGCCCCCCCCCCC